GGAATGCCATTTTCTCTTGGATTTGGAATACATTCTAGAAGTCCGTGTTTTTATTTTTTTACTACAAGTAAGCATCAGTAAACGAATATGATATTCTTTTTTATTTAATTGTACAAAGGTCACTATACTGAACCGTTCATTTCACCTCTTGGCTTTTTCACTCAGCATTACAGTTCTGAGATGGATCCATGTTACTCTATCTACTCACCTGCTTATGAAAATGTAGGTTATTTTCTTGCACATCTGGCACATGTACCTATGTTTGCTGGATCACGCTGTTAGGTATTGCCAAATTGTTCTCCAGAGCAGTTGTTCCCTTTTGCCTTCCCACCAGCACTGTATGCATGCCAGTCTCCACATTGCTGTACATCCCAGCCAGCAGGAAAGCTCTTTCCTTTACAACCCAGGAAACAGAGGTGTTTTACTAACTGATTGCAACTGAAAGGTTTCATCATAACCTTTACGTTGTCCTGGCCAGTTGCAGGTGCCATGAATTAAAGGGTCCTTAAGCTGGAAAAGATTTCAATTGCCCATAGACTTACAGTTAGTTTTTTTCAGGAGGGCAGTAGACAGTCTTGGGAGGAAGACACATTGACCTTTCCTGAGCATTAAGTTATGCCAGGCTGCATACTTGTACCATTTCATTTTCTTCACACCCTTGGAGGAAAGTGTGTGAAGAAATAGGATAAATGACTTGCCCAAGGTCAACCAACCAACCACCTAGTGACAGAAGCAGGATTCAAACCAGGATGACCAATTTGCCATATTTAGAATTAAAATTTGTGTTTGCAGGCCTGTGCCTATCAAGAATATGTCTTAGACGTAAAGCATTTTTTTTGAAACAGGCCAAATATTCTTAAATTTATTCTGTAATTAAAATATATGCCTTTGAAAAAATGGGTGTGTAGAGCATGTAAAACTGCTGTTTTATCACTAGATGGCACCAGCTCTGAAGGAGATATTGCCTACAGGGTACATTTTAATTAAAAAAAAGTAAAATTGCCTTCCCTGTATTTACTATAGACTTTCTGTAATCTGAGGCAAATAATTTATAATTTTATTCTTTTTTATGAATTTTTCATACTTCCTTTAAATAGTTGTCAAAACTAGTAAGATAAGAAAACAGAACCACCTAAGCAGGCAATTTGGATATAAGTCTATACCTCATGCCTCTCTCTGTTTCAGGGTAGTCTGGGCTAACATCTTCATGTGAAGTATGCACCCGCTCAGAAATGGCCTAACAAATGGAAAGCAAGTCTTGTTTTCAGCAGTTTTCTTGTTGGTGCAACCCAAAAGTAAGGCTGGAGGGGAAGAGGGGTACATGAATTTGTTGTCAGTTCACGCAATGCTAGAGACCAGTGGACAGAGCAATGCCACGGGTTTTCAGGGACCTGAGTTCAAGTTCCAGCTTCTCTACTTCCCAGTTGTATAACTTGGATAAGTCAGATAACTTCCCTGTGCCTTAGTTTCTTTATCCTATAAAGGACTATGTTAGGGAGGAGACTGTCTTTGGGCAGGTAAATAATTCAACAGATCTTTATCGAATATCCAGTGAGTACCAGGCATTGTGCCAGGTGCTGGAGAATCAGTATAAGACCATAGCCACACAATTAATAGTAATCCATTACAATTATGATAAGCATTACAAAGGAAGGTTATGGGTGTCGTGAAACCATATAGTGGAGGACTTAACCTTCTCTGAGAGGACTGCTGAGAGTGACAGCAAAGAGCTGAGGGGTTATAGCCTGCTTTCTTCTCCCCTTTGAGATTACTTGATCTTTCTGCATGATACCTTTGTAGGTTTATTCTTCATCCTTTGAAGTCCAGTACAGCACCAGAATTCATTGTAGTTTTTCTGTCCTTTTTCCTGAAAGTTAGTTTATAATTTAATTCAGCAGACATAGATTATCATCTCTTTTTTATTTTCCTCCCCTATTTTATCTTTGACAACTTTTATCATCTATTCATTCTGTTCTCCCATGGGAACACTAGTTATGCATTTGTTGGATATCCTTTATTTGTCTTCCATGTCTATTATGTTTTCTATAATCACTTGTCCCCCTTTTTTCTTTTCAATGTTACTTTGTGATTTCCTCTTGTATACCCTCCATATCTCTCTTTCAGCACTTTGTCACTGTTTTAGTGCTTCTGGTATAGCTTTTCCCTCTGTATTGGTTTTACTTTTCCTTTTGTTTTTTGAGTGCTGCCAGTCTACTTTTCACACCTTTCTGTTGCTATATTCCTTTTCTTGATCCTCCTGAATCTCTTCTTTGAGCTCTTTGTGTCAGTTTGTGTTGCCTTTCATTTCTTTGAGGGTATACAGGCTGGGTCCTGGACAGTAAAGGCAGGCTCTCTACAAGTGTCTCCCTTTAGTTTCTTCTCCCTGGAAATAACTGTAGTTTTCCTGGGCCTGTCCACACCCTTGCTCTCATTGCACCATTAGAGGGTCACTGTATAACTATGAGATTGATTTTTGGAGCATCTACATGCCTAAAGTCTGGCAGCTTTTGGCATTCTCCCTCTGTTCCAAATTTCATAGATTTTGGCACCTGTATTTTCCAGTTTATGGTTTGGAACTATGGACATGGACTAAGCTTTCTCTCCCCTCTCCCCATTCTTTTGATCGATTTCAATAGATTTTAAGAGAGGAGAATGTAGTCTAAATGCCTTGTTACCATTTTCAAATAGAAATCACCAATACAATGTTATTGAAGCTCGCTGTAATGCTATTGTTATTTGTGGATTTATAGAGCATGTTGTCATAAAATGCGATGTAATCATTTGTTGGTTCAGGTATTCATCTATCCGAATGCCAACAAGCTAATATTTAGTGGCTGCCATAAGCTTGGATGGAGACCCAGAGAAGAATTATTCATGGAAGAGTAAATTAGTTTTCTCTAGTAATTTCTGGAGGCCAAGAAATACCAGACATTCTTTTGCTGCTGCTGTTGTGGATTAGGAATGTTCCCTCTCTCTCTCTGCAGTTTTAATTTTTTTTTTAATTTTATTTTTGTTATACAGGTAACATATGAATACACACTTCTTATAAAAACTTTCGATATTGCACATAAAGCAAAAGCCCACCCCAGGACCCTGCTCTTCCTTTTCCTGTCCTCCTCTGCTCTCCAGGAGAAGCCTCTGTGGTCACTTTTATCTCTGTATCATTTGTTGGCCTCAAATAATGGAATAGACAAACAAGACTTAAATAATAGATGTTTAACTCTCTCACCTAACAAACTCAAGAGGTACAAGATTCCAAAATTGTTTCAGCTGCCTATCAAAGGCTGACTCCTAAGGTTCCCTTGGCCTCCTTGCCACAGTCACCAGTGAGTATGGCAGGTCCTGGTCCCAAAGCAGAAAAGAAGAAATGGGGGAAAGTCCTTTGCTTCAAGCTGCTCTGTGTTTATTATGGAGAACTTTTTTTCCTGGAAGCCTCCCTTTAGGAGTCTCATTGGTCACATGCTCATCCCTTGACCAATTACTGGCCAAAGGGCAGAGGACTACCATGATTCACAGCTTGGGGCTAGGCCCCTTTGCACCAAACCAAATCAGGATCCTCAGAGCCCAGTAGAAAGGGGGCACTGATGCTGAGCGGCAGCGCTGCAGTGCCTGCCGTGGCACAACCCCTGCACCTCTGTCTGCAGTTATGTATACACATCTGTGTGCAGATAGACACGTCCACTGTCAGTTTATGTGCACATAGGTTACTGGCTCTGCTTTACCAATGTGAGCACCTCTGTGCGAGCTCTACCCCTGTTGAGAGCAGTAAAGGCCAGGATAACAAGTAAGGCATGAAACCGTCACTCCATCCAATTTACAGAAGCCACTAAAAGAGAGTGAGCTCTTCTATCTTCTAGTGTTAGAGTTTCCTCCATGCCACAGGTACAGAAGCATGGATTCCCAAACCCTCAGTTTACTTGCCCTAATGTACCAAGTCAGGGGAGGTCCAACATGTTGTGGACCTGCGAAGGTCCCAGTGCAGGCCCGCATGGTTTCTGTACCTTACAAATCTAAACCGCCCCTCCCAGTTGTTCCTTGATTCACTGCGCATTTACCGCACTCTTACCTGGACTTTACCCCAAGCTGGAGCTAGCTGGCACCTTATGTTACTCTGCTTTCAATGGCCGTATAATGCATTTAGGGTAGGGTTCTTCCGTTAGCGTTAATATGAGGAGAGGCATGTGGGGACGTGACCGTCCCACTCTGGGCTGGGCCCTGTGCATCATTAATCACTGCTGGAACTCAGAGTCATCTCACTCTTACAGTCACAAGAATCTGGACACTGCAGCTTCCTGGCTATGTCGTCGGGTTGTCCAGTATCTTGCTTTCATCTTTAAGCACTGGAATACTTCTGATGTCACAGATTAGTCTTGCAAATTTTGAACATTATATGCATGAAATCATAGAACATGTAGTTTTTTTGCATCTGTCTGACCACATTGTTAGATGTGTACAAATTTAAAATTGTATCTTTCTAGCAAATCGAATATTTCATTACCAAAGTGAACCTCTTTATCTCTAAAAATGTGTTTTGCCTTATGTCTGTTTCATCTGACGTTCTCCATCTTTCTTTTGTTTGTTATTTGCATCGTTGGTTTTTTTTTTCATTAAATATAAAAAGACTAAATGGTCCAGTAGAAAGACAGAGGGGAAGTTTTTCAAATTCAGTTAACAAAAACTATATGCTGCATTGAATCATCTACTTTAAATGGATGAATAGTATGGTAGGTGAATTATATCTCAGTAAACTTGTTTTAAAAAACTATATGCTGTTTGTAAGACACAGCTGAACATAAGAATATAAAAAGGTTGAAATTAAAAGATAAATAAAACAGACCATGCAAATAACAAACAAATGAAAGATGGTTTAAATTTGCCATCTTACTTTATTTTTCCTATTTGTCCTGTTGTTGTATATCTTTTTTTTCTTGCTTTTGGATTGATGATTTTTTAAGTTCTATTTCTTTCTCTCTACTAGTTTGCAAATTATACCGTTTTTTCTCTAATAGTTACCCTAGAAAGTACAGCATATTTTGCTTTTTAAAATCTGAGTTGGTATCCTACCCAGCAAGAAGATGAAGGAGCCCAGGACAAGTGCGCAGACAGATGAGAGACAGGCCATTGATATATTGAATATATATAAAAGGTTTACAAACCATAAGTATGCAGCTCAGTGAATTTTTACAAAGTAGCCACCACCCAAATTAAAAACAAAAAACGAAAAAACACCAGAAGTTCTCTTTGCAA